AGAGCCTGTTGGGATGCCGATACAGGAGCTCAGGGCAGGTTGTTATCTCTAATGGAGTAGGGCAGTGCCCTGTGGAGATACTGGCCTACGTCCCAGGCCGAGGATATTTCTGCAGCACAAAAGCTGCATCACTCGGTTGGGAGCTAATGTGGGACTTGGATGGCTCAGGGCAGTGTTGCTCTGGGTGGTGAAGATGACCTAATGGTGTAATTTGGAAGAGCTTCGTACTCGGTGTTCCGAGCTTCCTAAAAATCTGCTCACACATTTTTGTGTTGAAGTAGGGGGAGAAACTAGTGACAGAGAAGGAGTATCTGTCCCTAGCAGCAGGCACACACTTCTTTAAAAATGTCCCAGATGTTTCTTTTTATCTATGTATTTCTAACAAGCTGCATTTATAGTAAAAGGTACTCAAGTTCATCCTCATTTCCCCGTGTGATAATGAGTGTGCAGGTATATGCTAAGGCAGTCGTCCCTGTTCCCTGGCTTTGGTCAGTCTGCAGCTCGTGGGGATGAGAATGACACTTCAGATACGTGAGTTACCCCCCGTCAGACTTCCCTGCGAACCGGCATGCAGCGAGCATAGCTGGGCAGGGGGTATCTGGCTGTGATGCAGGGTGGCACTTCAGAAAGTTTTTGAATCTGGTGTGTGGTGTGGAGACCCCGGTGAGTGTGGCCGTGAACTAGTCGTGGTGATCGTATTTCAGGATAAAAGAAGCTATCTGTTCGGAGGGTGGCTTAATTAGCAGCCTGTGGAGTTCGTTTGTTTTTCAGCATTAGTGTGTTGAAAGCAAATGTGTTTGCGTAAAGGTTTCTGGCAGAAATCTTTATGCAGTGGGAATGCGCTTCCTCTTATTTCTCTCCCCCTGCATAAAAATAAAATCCAGTCACCCTGAGAAGGAGCAGAATATCACAATATCCTGTGACTTGTGTGGCCCAGCTGATCTTCAGGGATTATGAGTAGTGGAGGGAGAATGAACTGAAGTTCCCTGTCTCTTCATAGATGAGCAGCAAAATAGAGTAACAGACTAAATTCACTGTCTCCCTAAAGCTTATGTGGTTCTGGCTGCAAGTGAAAGGTATTTTTTGGATGTACATCTGTACGTACTTGAGAACTGTTCCCCTTTTTGAATCTGAGCCTAGGTGATTCAGATCCAGCTGTCCTCTTTTCTGATGGAAAGACGGAGAACAGAATATTTTGGTCATTTGAAGCAGGCTTTCGTATTGTGCATTCCTAGGATGCTTTTCTTGGTTGTGGGAACAGACAGAACCATTCATCCCAGTATGAAAAGATTGCAGGAATAATCTAGCAAAGATCTAGAAAATCCTTGTAATCTGTGTCATCTTGGAAAAGGAAGAAAAACAAAATAAGCAGAGCTGGTGGCCCCGGAGTATCCACAGGGGCAGATGGGGTTTTTTTACAGTGTGTCTGGAAAAAGTCACATTTCCATGAAGTTATAGGGGAAGGCAAAGCTTACAGCTTGTGCAGGTAACATAGGGAGCAGGAAAGAAAACGGCTCGTGTTTCTTATGTCACGTGTGGCATCATTTTTGCCGTTGTTCAGCATCTATTGTTGGAAACAGATTTTTTTTTTTCCAGAAGGGCTCTGTTAATAGAGCCTGTTGGGATGCCGATACAGGAGCTTAGGGCAGGTTGTTATCTCTAATGGAGTAGGGCAGTGCCCTGTGGAGATACTGGCCTACGTCCCAGGCCGAGGATATTTCTGCAGCACAAAAGCTGCATCACTCGGTTGGGAGCTAATGTGGGACTTGGATGGCTCAGGGCAGTGTTGCTCTGGGTGGTGAAGATGACCTAATGGTGTAATTTGGAAGAGCTCCGTACTCGGTGTTCCGAGCTTCCTAAAAATCTGCTCACACATTTTTATGTTGAAGTAGGGGAGAAACTAGTGACAGAGAAGGAGTATCTGTCCCTAGCAGCAGGCACACACTTCTTTAAAAATGTCCCAGATGTTTCTTTTTATCTATGTATTTCTAACAAGCTGCATTTATAGTAAAAGGTACTCAAGTTCATCCTCATTTCCCCGTGTGATAATGAGTGTGCAGGTATATGCTAAGGCAGTCGTCCCTGTTCCCTGGCTTTGGTCAGTCTGCAGCTCGTGGGGATGAGAATGACACTTCAGATATGTGAGTTACCCCCCGTCAGACTTCCCTGCGAACCGGCATGCAGCGAGCATAGCTGGGCAGGGGGTATCTGGCTGTGATGCAGGGTGGCACTTCAGAAAGTTTTTGAATCTGGTGTGTGGTGTGGAGACCCCGGTGAGTGTGGCCGTGAACTAGTCGTGGTGATCGTATTTCAGGATAAAAGAAGCTATCTGTTCGGAGGGTGGCTTAATTAGCAGCCTGTGGAGTTCGTTTGTTTTTCAGCATTAGTGTGTTGAAAGCAAATGTGTTTGCGTAAAGGTTTCTGGCAGAAATCTTTATGTAGTGGGAATGCGCTTCCTCTTATTTCTCTCCCCCTGCATAAAAATAAAATCCAGTCACCCTGAGAAGGAGCAGAATATCACAATATCCTGTGACTTGTGTGGCCCAGCTGATCTTCAGGGATTATGAGTAGTGGAGGGAGAATGAACTGAAGTTCCCTGTCTCTTCATAGATGAGCAGCAAAATAGAGTAACAGACTAAATTCACTGTCTCCCTAAAGCTTATGTGGTTCTGGCTGCAAAGTTAGGGATCCAGAGACTCCCTCTAACAGAGGCCTGAAAAACTGTAAAATATTTTTATTCTTCTGGCACCCTTTCCTGCTTAAATTCTTCTCTAATAGCGTTTTATCCTTCCCCTGTATCCTTTTGTCCTTTTCCCATCCATATTCCTGGTTGTGGATTCAACCAGCCATCATGTTTTATCTGGAAGAACCAGCATCCCCAGCTTGCTTAATCGCAAGTACAGCATCAAACCTTGTAACCAAAAGGTAGGACCGGGCAATGAGATGTGTAAATCTAGGAGTAGGGGCACATTGTGAAGAGAGCAAACCTTCAGGTTGAAAGTGATGGAGATGGGGTGAGATCTTTTGGTAGAGCACAATCACCTGCCAGCAGAAGTGCTAGAAATCAAGTTGCTCTGTGAAATCAAAGCTAGCCCTGGGCAAAACGCGTCATATGAGATGGAGTGGGTGGGAGGAAGATGTCTGATGGCTTGACAGATAGGAGGAACCAGGCTGATCAATGTTTCTCACCTCCAGATTCTGTTACTTGTCTCTTGTTATGCTAAATAGAGCTGGAAACTGCAGCCTCCTGTCCAGCTCTGTGACAGCATCTGGTCCTCGCTGGCTCTGTCGCAGGAGGGCTGTTTTCCCTCTTCCTTAACAAGAACTGCTGGCTCTTGTCCATTGTTCCTGCTGCTGGTGATGTGACCTGAGCATCCCGCTTCTCATAAACAGCCCTGACTTCTGCGTAAGCTAAATACTCCCCAGTTGATGCTGTCTGCAGGTGTCTGAAGCCACCCCAGGTGTTGAACGCCCTTTGTGGGGGACGTGGGGAAGAGACGGGGCTTGATCCCTTGGGTTTTCACTCAGGCTCCCTCCCCAGGCTGTCTCTGCTGATCCCTCCTTTCTTTGTCTCTCTAAGCTGGTGTGGGATGACTGGCTGTTACTGCTGAAACGCTCTTTGGTGTCTCAGATATTTGTGAGCCCTCAGGAATACAGTTTTGGAATTCTCCTTGCAGTTTTTCCTCCTCTGTGTCTGCTTGCAGCTTTCCCTGGAGCCCTGCCAGCCCTCCCCTCACTCTGACCCAGCCTGTATTGAAATCCTTACTCATGCCTTAATCACTTCCCGTCCCCGCTATTGCAATTCCCCCCTTGCAGCATCTGTAAATCTTTGCTACGTTAATTCTCTGGAGTGCTGTCTGCAGCAGGCTGCCTCCTTCCTTGCCCAGGAAGCAGGTCTGGGTGTCTCCCGGCTTCTGGCTGGTCCTTGGTGTGCTCTCCGTGCAATTCCCTTTGCCGTTATGTCCCTGGCTCACTCTGCTGCCACCTTCTTCCCTCCATATCCCAGCCTGCTCAGTCAGCCAGCCTTAGCTTCCTTTTGGCTGATAGTCTCAATTTTTTGATTGTTTTTCTTTATCCATTAGGAATGTTTTTGCATTTTTTTAAGCAGCTTAGTCATTTCCTTTATTTTTCGTTTCTTGTCATAAAATTTTTTGCTTGAGGAGTTGTGTGCTTCTTAATGCAACATCCTTGCAAGGAATTTGGAGGTTTTATTCCGTTTGCCTATTGGGAAGGGAATGGCATGGAGAAGGGTTATGTGATTTCACTGATGAGTAGCTGGTGGAGTGATGCTTAGGTTTCAGAAAGTTATTTTTTTCAGTCTTACTGCAAATCCATGGGGTCAGATGCCCTTTTTCTGTGACAAGGTTTTGGATTTGTTCTTAAGGAAAGGAGCTGAAAGCCCCATCTTGGACACTGGCCTCTTCCTTCCTCCTCCTGTCAATTTGGAGAGGCTGCCCTGAAGTCTTGTGAAAATGGGGGCCGCGCACCAAAGGTCTAGTGCTGAGGGTCGTTAGTGCGCCTTTGGTAAGGGCTCTGACAGCAGAACTGGGTCTTGGCTGATGCACGAACTGAGACTTTACAATTTAAAACCAGTCAACAATTTCAGTCACTCAAATCCCAAACTGAATTTAATTCTTTTTTGGTGGTTCTGGGAGGTTTCAGCTTTGGTCCAGGACTCCAGGGTTAACGTGAGACTGTGAGATCAAGAAAGAGAATGTAATGTTAAGATGGGAGATGAAGGAAATGATCGCCCTTGTTTTGCAGGAGAAGAAACGAAAGATCCTGACTCTCCTAGGGATGTGAGGAGGGAGCTGGGCACGGCTTTCTGGGAGCCTGTTCGGTGCTCTCCCACCCGTTCTCTATCTGATTTTTTTGTGCTCTCTCTCCCAGGCCTGTGACAATGGAAGAAGAGGTCCATCATCGAGAAGCCTGAACGGTGATACCAGGACAGCTCTCTGAGACACTGGCAATACGAGCCTGAGATACAGGAGGCAGCAAACATGCTGAAGCCAAGTGGACTTAAAATCCCCGGCAGGGCTGGGAAGCACTCCAGCCCGGTGGGACGGGCATCAGGGACCACTGCAGCTGCTGTCACCACTGGTTCAAAAGAAGGTAAGGACTTGATTTGGCAGAGGCATGAGCTGACCCAGGTGATTACCTGGCTTAAAGGCAAAGGCCTAGTGGTGCCAGTGTTCAGTAGGACATGAAATTTCCCATCTGTACGTAGATCGATCGTGAGCATGGATCAAAACAAGTGTAATGGGGTGAGTAAATGGCCTCCCTCTCCCAACTAACACACAAACCAGGCAGGTTGTGGAGGGGGTGGGAGACAGATGGATCCCCTGGTGTTTAGGGCTGACAGAGAGAGCTGCTGCCTCCTGTCTTGCTTTTTTGCGTATGCGTACCTGTACAGACACTGACATTTGAAGAGCTGGTCATAATTAGGCAGGTGGGAACCTCACCCATGGCCTTCTTAAACACTGTCCTATAGCCATTGCTTCTGGCCTGTGATAATGCAAGAATAAGAACCAAGCACTTAAGGTGATTTGTCCTGTGCTGATTACCTCAAATTAGTGCCTTTGTTTGAACAGGATCATTTGAAGCACTGGGATTTGAATAATGACTTACCTAGACATACATACACAGCCTTTACTGTCCGTTGATCTATATCCAGTGTATACATAAGCTATACAGACTGCTGTTATGCAGTATAATTAACACTTCAAAAGCGTTTGAGATGTGTCTTACTTAGCACTCATTTTTCTGGCTTCTTTGATTTCTGGGTTGTTTTTTTATTAGATATAACTTATACAAAACTTGCACCTTGAATATTTGCTGTAATGTTTTTCGTTTCACTTTGTTAAAAAAGGCTTTCCTCTTGGTTCTGGGGAACCAGAATCAATCACTTGTACATTCAGTATATTACACTTCCATTTGAGAATGTCACTAGTTGCTTCTGGACATCTGTCAACCTCTTGTCCCATAATAATTCAGGCCACTGCCCACATGCCTGGTTACTTTGCTCTATGTTTCAGTCCCAAAAATATATAGCATTTGGCAGAAGCAGGAAAGCCTTGTACCTGTCAGACAACATTTTTAGTATAGGGGATAATATTGGACAAAATTTGCTTTAGCATGCTATGACAGATTAGTCTGTGATAACGATACTGCAAAAATGAGGGTCACCAGACAATGCTCTCTCTTGTCAGAGTAATGCAGAAGTGTTAGTTATTTAAACAAAACAAACAAAAAAAACCCATCTCCGTGAAGCTTCTCTTGTGCTGGGGCACGTGTCCTTGTCCCATGAACACCCTCCGTTGAGAGGGTGGTTCAGGCACAACCTCTGCACGGGGCTTCCATGCAAAGACCCTGCTTGCTGCTGAGCGACCCTGGCTCTGCTCTGTTATTACACATCAGGGGGTCTGTTTTGCTCATGGACTTCTTCAGCTGAGCTTTCTCTTCTTTCAGTGACTGATCATCTCTCGCACTCTGTAAATTCTTTCCTTGAACAGTACTGTAAAAGCCACAGTCTTAAGCTGGTTTTTTGCACACGTGTAAGGTCTTGTTTGAGGGGCCAGTCACTGTGTGAGATCGTGGGCTGAGTTCCAGATCCTTCTGTGTGATACAGCATTGTAGGGAGTGGAGCGGCACTGCTCTTCCTCGGCTGAGGACTTGGCCCTAGATGTAAATATAAACGTTTGAATTGCTCTTTTCTGTGTTTGAGTGGGTTTTAATATTAAGACTAATTTCTTAATTTAGTATCCAAATCAAAGATACTGAAGTCTCCTTATATCTGTTTGCTAGAGGGAAGCGCAGATTGACAAAGGAAATTCTTAGGGTAAGGTTGACAGGTTTGGCTGTTTATTTTGAAGTTATTCCCCAGACCCATTTTCTGTATTTCCTCCTTGTTTCTCCTAGCAGCTAGCTGTGATTGAGAAATGAACTTGAAGGACTCCAGTGAAGTGACTATGTACCAAACAGTTGTGAATCTCTCAAGGTGCTTCATGCTGGATGTATAATTGCAGTGTGACATGGAGTTATTTTCAGTTGATTTTTATCACTTAAAAAAAAAAAAAACCAAACACCAAAATGAGGGAAAAGATCCGAGGCCTGTCTTCCCCTCGGAGGCTTTGCACAGAGGCGTCTCGGCAAACACAGTCAGCGCGTGTGTGGCGGTATGAAAGAGTTAGTGAGCACAGACAGTCAGCACCGGGGCCCGATGCGGCCTTTCAGCTGAATGCAGCGCTTGTTTGCTGGAGCTTCTTTGTGCCTTGTTCAGCTATAGCCATCTGTCACTGTGATGGATGTGCAGCAAAGCTGTCCGAGCGCGGGCAGAATCTGCACCAAACTGAGTTTGACCTTTGCTTGAAAAGTTCTAAAATGAGTTTTATTCCTGGAAAAATGTGTGTATGGAGAAGGGGAGAAGTCTCGGGAGGGTGGGTTGGTACTGTGCAACCAGCGTGCTGTGAGCTGCGCTGCTGCTCCTCTGCCTCTTGGGATGGTGCAGGGGGCTTTGCAGGAGTTGCGGAGCTGCCGGAGCAGTCACAGCTCTGAGCCGTTCCTACCTGGAAGGTGAGAACAGAGCACAATGGGGCTGTTTACCCAGCATGTGCTCGGTGGATGGCTGCGATAGGGTTTGTAGCATCATCTTTGACGTCATCTCTAGCATCATCTTCTCACTGTCCCCTGCACAAGAGCTACTGCTGTGTCTATGCATGGCCTGTACCTGCTCTTCCTCCTGCAAATCTCTCTAAAGGCTTGGCCAGCCCCTCGCTGCCCCCTGCTCCTCTCCTTTCCAATGATAATCTGAAGTGGCGAGCAAAGTGTGCATCCCAAAATCCTGTTGACTTGCCTATGTGACCCTCTCTGAGAGCGGCAGCACCTGTGCTGGCTGTGGGGCCCAGCCGCAGCACAGACAATCATGAGATTCAGCCTTTGGCAGGGAAAAACTCCAAGAGAAAATATTCTTTTTTTTCTGTCAGTGGCTTAATTCTATTTCAGAGCCAAGTGTCCCCATCACTAAAATCCTAACCACAGCAGGCACTGATGTAAACCTGGAGGATGCCTGCAGCCAAAGGATCTGGTGGTAGATGGCCATGGAGACTGGATTTCATTACCTTCCTTGGGATTAATCAGGTCTGGGCCACAGGAGGGTGATGGAACTTTGCCCCATCCTCACTCTTCTGTCTTGCTAACCTGCATCATTCAACCTCTGGCCTGTAAGTGCACCACGCTGTTAATTCACAGCAGTACTGATAACCCAACTTTTATCAAGAGGAGGTAACTATATGCTAGCCTGAGGGCTGTTAGATCTGGTAGCATGCAGTCAGCACTGAGTGCTTTCCCCAGTGTCACAGCCTTGGAGCCTTTCTAATGTACAGAGGGACAATGGCAGAGATGAAGAGGCTGAAAACAATTTTCTTTTGTGTGTTTAGTGTGAATACTGCAAAGGGCTTTTTCTGCTTTTCTTCCCTCTTCTGTCACTGTCCAGGAAAGTGCCTTCATGTGATATGTTGGGTGTCTGCTGGGATGGAAAGATCCTCTAAAGATACCAAGATTTACATCAGGTCTTAAAAAGTTGCATAAAGGAGACTGCATGTGAGGCATGTGAAGAAGCCCTGCAGAAACCATGAGCTCTGCTCTGTGCTGTCTTTGAACATTTGCATGAGCTCTGTGAACTGTGTCGGTGCACTGAGAGTGCTTTCCTGGGAGACAGTCAGGGTTTGCCTGACTCCAGGGGGTCTGAGTGTACTGGATTTTTATGAACTCATGTGTTGCCTCCACACTTACCTGCTTCTTGCCAGAAATGCCAAAAGAGACTTCTCCATTGTCTTAGGCATTTGGTGAACCACCTTAGCCCTGCAGCTTGATGGAAGAAAGCCAGTGTGGTTTGGATTACAAAATACAGAGCTGCAACATTGATCTCTATGAATTTGCTACCTTGGGGGAAGACAGAAATCTCAAAAGCTTGAAATGTAGTTGCAAAAGAAAACCATAAATCTAATAAAGTGCAGAATTAAACTGTAACAATGTACAGTCTGTTGGCTCTGAACTGTCTCTTGGCTCTGGTAGCCTGGGGCTGGCTCAGAAAGACCCCGCATCGAGGTTATATCTTCCAGATTGGGTGTCAAAAGAAGGTGCTCGTTCTCCAGTTGTACCTGAGAGTTGTCAGAGAGCCATTAGATACAAATGAATTTTGAAAAGCTTCACACTTTCTTCCTCCCTCCTACCTTCCCATAAGTTGATCAGTCTTATCTGCGAAAGTGCAAGTAGAGGTACTTTCCTTTATTCTTAGTCTGGAACACGCAAAGATGCTTTGATTTATTCTTTCTCTTTTCCCCAGCACTCTGTTCATATTCTTTTGTGGAAAGTCAAGTGTCTCATCCATCTCTCATCTCTCTTCCTTTCCCAGGCAGTGGAGATGTGCCCTGTTAAACATTTCCATGTACTCTTGACAACTCAGATCTTATGCAACAGAACAGAGGGTTGATGCAGATGTAAGATGCTGTGTGTGCATGTATATATAATTTCACAATTCATGGCTGTAGGTTTCTATAGAGACCAAAAATGATGTAGTTGTAGCATGTGTGACAAGCCGGCTCAGTATATCAGTTATTTTTCCCGCAAACTTATTCGGAGCCCCTGTTTCCTACCGGCTCGTGGAGTGTCCTCTCTGAACTTCCCTAGAGTGGAGAGTTACTGGGTCTCCTACCTGAGCTGGCACTTTCAAAGACCCATGAGGTATAAAGGCTTTTTGTGGTGGTATTCTGGGTTAGGTGCATTGGCTTGTTGTGGGTGGGGGCTTTTTTTTTTTTTTTTTGGTGAAGGAGAGCTGAAATGGTCATTTCCACTGAAAGTCAGAGGGGGACTGGCACCTGGCATGGATTCTTGGAAAACATTAGCCGCGATGAATGGTGTCCACACTGACTATCCCCCTCCCTTCTCTCCCATAAAGCTGGAACAATGGAAAAAATAAGTTCTGCTGCTTTGTGGTAACTATTTTCCTTAAAACCAGACTGAAAATTCATCTCTAGCTGTCTCGGGAGAGGATTTCCCACAAATGCGTTGGCTTATTTCCCATACTTCAAGAAAAGAAAGTTACTGCTCTCAAC